GTGTGTGTGTGTGTGTGTGTGTGTGAGAGAGAGAGAGAGAGAGAGAGAGAGAGAGAGAGAGAGAGAGAGAGAGAGAGAGAGAGAAAGAGAGAGAGGGACGAGACTATAAGTCTCCAACCTTGGCCAACAGCCAAGTCTCAAGCCCGCGGCTCACCGCGCGCTACTTGGATCGATAGAACGTGCAAATCAAAACATGGCAGTGTATATTTCCCCGCTTTCAACGGAAGATTCATTCCATCTTTGCTCGTCCTATCGATGGAATGTGAGTGTGTGAGACGTTCACGATTTGACCAAGGTGAGAGAAAGATCGAGAGAGAGAGAGAGAGGGAGGAGGAGAGAGAGAAGAAGAAGAAGAAGAAGTAGAAAGAAGGAAGAGAAGTGGGGGTAACGCGGGAAACAGAGGAGATGGTTGTGTAGTGATAGCAGAAGGAGAACGTGCGAGGGGATAAAGGCGAGAACAAAGAAGGAGAGTGAGGGAGAAGGTGAGGAGAAAACAACGAAGATGAGAACCATGAAGAGAAATGGCTACGACAACTACGACCGAGACACAGACTATGAGGACAACAAGAAAGGGGTAGGAGGAGAATGAAGAGTAAGAGGGAAAGTGAAAGAATGTCTTACCTGGTCCAATGATCCTCGTTAGAGGCTCTGTCGCATCTGTATCGAATTGAAAAGGTTACTTGTATACATTGTTATTAATATTAATATTAATATTATTATTATTATTATTAGTAGTAGTAGTAATAGTAGTAGTAGTAATAGTAGTAGTAGTAGTAGTATTCGATTGTTATTACTATTAATTTGTTATCATTAACATTATCACTTGTTAATAATCCCCTCCCTTCCTCTCGCCGATCTCTCTCAAAGAGCTCATATTTTTCCTTTTCTTTTATCTCCTCTCCAACCCCCCTTCTCTTCTCCACCCTCCCACGTAATTGGTCGTATCATCTAAAATTTTTACTATGCGTGGCGTGCATCTTTCCTTCTTGCGCGTGTTTGACAATGCCGCCCATTTTGTTGTTCGGAAGTTCGAACGAATTCGACAGGATTAATCTTCATCCTTTCCTCCACCAACACCGCAAATGGGATTAATTCCGACATTTTGATTCAAACGTTATGTGAATTTCTTTATTTTATCAGATTCCTTTCATTATTTAATTTCAAAATTCAATTCCATTTCAGAAATTCGTGAAATAAATTTTGGAATTTACTAAATTTTATTCATCTGAAGTCGAATCAATTTCTGTTGTCTGCCCCCCCGTAACATTACGAAATTCTGCAATTCTTTTGAAATTCCTTTGAAATTCTTTAGAAATGTCTTTCAAATTCATCTTAATTTTTTAACACGTTGAGATTTTTTTTGTGATTTCACCTAGATATTCTGGAATTTCTTCCAACCTACTTTGCTTGGCTATCACTATTTTTTTATGAAATCTCATTGTAAATTTTTAATTTAGGAATTAGTTTTGTATTCTTATTTCAGATTACCTTTGAAATTCTTCTAATTCCGAAAATACCTCAAGAAATTTTTCATTTTACTTCAAAATTTTTCTGTCAACTCACCTCTACCTATTCTATCACCTCCTCGAACTTTTCGAAAGTCTTATGAATATTTTGAAATTCGGTGAATTCTGTTTAAATTTCCTTAGTAATTATGAATTTAGGACCAAATAATTTCAGAATTTTATTCCGAACTCGTGACCGCCACGAATTCTGATTTTCTATATAACCTACACCATCCTTTGAAAATCTCCTCTCATTCCCTTACTTGAATTGAAAATTCTCACTCTCTCCCCCCCACTCGGACTTTGAATCGTCTTTACTTAATTTCGAAAGTTCGTCATACCTCGTTTTTTACTCGCCTTCCTCTCGTAGTCCCTTACTCCCCTTCTTCTTCTTCTTCTTCGTCGTCGTCGTCGTCGTCGTCGTCGTCGTTGTTATTGAATTCTTTCTGACAACCTTCAAAATAACACACATCCACATTTCGTTGTCGGATCATATTGTGAGAGAGACAAAACGAGCGAGTGCGCGAGAGCGCACACGAGAGAGAGAGAGAGAGAGAGAGAGAGAGAGAGAGAGAGAGAGAGAGAGAGAGAGAGAGAGAGAGAGAGTGTTTTAAAATTCACTACTGGGGGGCATAAAGGCATTGAATGATGACTTTATCGTCGATTATGGCCCGTTGTAGTGAACTGAATATACTTGTTTTTTTTTTTCTTCTTCATCTCATTTCTTTCTTTCTTTGTTTCTTTTTTCGCAGTCCCGTTTTTTTTTACTTAAAAAAAAAAAAAAA